CCAATTACAAAACAGTTTGATGTGTACGTAGAAGATGAAAGTAATCGGTCAAACAACGAATAAGTAATCGGCAAGGATGTTGCCTCATCGGAGCCTGATTAACCCAACTCGATTTAATTTGGCAAAAAGTGTTGATGTCTCGCCTTAATTGGGTGCTCTCAATTTGTCCTCTTTAAGTACGTAGTCTAAAAAAGCAGTGAAAAGAAACTTTTAATGCATGTATCAGGGGGAAAATCTTTCTCCTCGGGGTTCTCCACACTTGCCAGGGGGGAGTCTCGTCTCGTCTCGTCTCGTCTCGTCTCGTCTCTCTATCGCGCCCCCTTGAGGTACGGGATCAGGAAAGTCACTTAAGCTCTACAGTCAAACAAGACACGCACAACGAAATACGTTTCAACTCTCGTCTTAGTCGGTCAATCGAGCACTCTATAAGACACAGCGCCCTGGGGAAAAATCCCAAAGACTATCGCAAGGCTAACCCAAGACTCTTTTAGACTGCGTCAACACTCGCCCCAAGGCACTCCAGGACTGGACTTTCGACTCTCCAGGACTGGACTCAGATTCTCCAGGACTGCGTCTGTTCTCTGTGTGCTAGCCAAGACCAACTAAAAACAACTATATTCATTTTCAAAACATTAACCAATTACAAAGCAGTAAAAAGACTCTAGGGCGTAACTTTCAATCATAAAGCCAATCACACTAAGTACTGAATACGTCATATCTTTTGATTAATCGTTCACTATATTAATAACTACGGATACCAACTGTCAGAAATCCTAGTCAGAATAGCGACGGTTATCTCGTAATTAGTTCCAAATCACTGAGCCAAGTTCCGTCCAAAACTTCAAATAGACCTAAACGATGACAGACATAACACAGCAATCCGCTAATAATTAGCTAATTAAGTCGGTCAACAGATACGCGAAAACTAATTCATGACACGTGTATAAAAAGTTGTGAATCTATGTTATTAGGAATATCTTTCATAGGACGTCATTTTTTAGGAAAGGCCATTAGATGTTTATCAATAAATGCTTAATTCCCATAAACATGTATATAAGTAACGTGATTGATTTGAAGAGCCCTGTCTTCATATTATGTGGTCAAGAAATGTTTGCACAACTCCACTATTGATGATGATCTATATCCTAGCAATGGAAAGTAAACCAAACTATTGTTTCACGTTTTATTCTGTATAACATGTATCATGAATTAAAAATATAAACATAAGAAATTGTAATCTGTATACACTATGTTAAAAA